ATAAATGGTCTCAGAAAAACAAGATGGGAACACACGACTTTTAGAAGCAGATGTGAATCCACGCCCGAGCACGCGACCCCACAGGTCACACCCACCCCTTGCTCGTCCAGCTTGAGCAGCTGCTCCGAGACCTTGGGCGAGCTGGCGGCCTGGCGAAGACACTGGATGCCGAGCTCGGGAATGACGTATTCCAGCACCTCCTTGAGTGGCAGACCCCGTGCGGTGCCGTGCCTGGCGGTGGAGGGGATCGCGTCTTCCAAAATCGCTCCTCTCAGTGTTGTGAGCTGCAGGGGCAAAACAGAAGACTTCAGGGAACACGACTCCCGGGTACCTCTTTAGTGCCCCATCGTCTGGCTGCCCTAAACAAGGCAGAAGAGGAGCAAGGCTCTTTTCTGGGTGAGATGAAAGGGACTGAAGAACTCGCCCGCACAGCCGTAAATGACAGCAGCACCCAGGGGTCAGGCACAGGCCAGGTGGGGCTGAAACAATCAAATGCCTGAGAAGGAGGCGACCCGATGCCCAGCCACACTGTGAAAACTGAGACACTCCTACAACTCCCAGCATCACCAGCCATGGAGGGGGACCTGGACGTGGACAGCCTATGACACCCATGAGCAGGGTGACTCAAGGCTGTGAAGACCACCACAGGACGCCTGGCACTGGTGTGCCACTCTGCGTGCTGGTGATAGAACTGTATGCAAAGACAAGAATGTTCTCCATCAGTACGAACACGGCAGCCACCAGCCACGTGGCTACTGAGTACCTGAAATGCGACTAGTGCAACTGAGGACACAGCTTGCTAATGTCATTCAATTATTTTAAATTTAAATAGCCACCTGTGGCTAGTGACCATTGAATTGGACAGCATAGGTCCATAACTTAAGATATGTCACTTTGACAGAAGGGCTTCATCTCTGTGCCCAGCCCAGAGCACAGGTGCCACCGAAACACCAACGCAGTAGGTGAGAGAAACATGTGGGCCTGCACACACTTGTGCAAACTGCAGGGAACTAGAAAAAAGCCCCCCTTCCTCTGTCTCATCTGGAGTAGTCAACGAAAATACACATTCTGGAATATTTGCCAAATATATATATACCTCTAATGAAAATGGGCTAAAGACATAACACCTAAAGAACAGGCCAGATCTAATGCTTTACATAATCGGCATCTCTACTTATTCAGTTCCACATCCTGTGCCATTTGTATAAAACAATCTCACTTTTCACTCAAGGCAGACAAGGAGGAACCATCCTGGGTCGTCAGTGTCACAAGGTGTGTGCACACGGAGCCCCTACACTGGCAAAGCCACCAGTCAAGCGTTCACCCCAACGCAGGCTACCTGATTGTCTGCGTTAGATATTAAAGTCGTTTTCACACTTTGATGTGAATTTATAGTCCATTTTTGTTCTCTCTGTCTTAAGCCCCCAAACCTTGCATTTTTTCATGTTATCCTTTCTAACATATAAGGTGGCACTAAAATCATTGCCACTGAACACCCATGGCCAGTGTCCAAATGTTGTACGTGGAATAAAATACTGCAATCCCCTTTTCAATTACCTTATCTGTTGTGATCATTAGCATTAAGAAATAAATTTGGTACCCGACCTAAAAGAAACTAAAGCACGGGTATGAAGTGGGGTTCGACGTGAGCCCAGGACTCAGCGATGCACGGGACTGTTACCTCGCTCGTCCTGAACGCCACCCTGTAGTTGAACTGGGACCCTTCCTTCTCCTTGGGGTCTTCCACCTTCTCTCTCCGGATGCTGACCGCCACCGGGCCGAGGTTTTCATCTATCCCAAAATAGTTCTGGTGCTCTGCCAAGGAACAAAAAGAAAAGAACACAGCGCAGCATGGATATCTTTTAGTCTGTGTTATCTAATCTCTATGAAACAGCTCCCGTCTTAGGTACAACCATTTCCCCATAGGCGTCCGATCAAACTTTCTGGGGTCCAGTTTAGAGGCACTTTCACATCTCATGTTCTGTGACACAAGCCCCCGGGAAGCAGGAGCTTCCCCCACCCACAGTGATTCTGCTAGGACGTAGTCAGCATCGTGGGAAAGAGCACGTGGCCACTCTTGGGAACAGACAGAACAGGACAACAGCTACTTATGGAGTCAGTACTGAAAACTGTCTCCCGCCCCGGGGGAAGGGGACCGTCCTTGGCTGAATGAGGGCACCAGAGGTTACCCACCAGGCCACTCAGACCCGTCAGACTAACCTTGGCCTTCCGTGGAGCTGCAAAGATCACCATTTCCTTATGATGTCACTAAAGGACCTAAAGTCTTAGGCAAAATTGAGTGACGGGAAATACATAAAAGGTCGTTAAGTTGCTAAGGTCAAATTATATCTACAAATCGTACAACTTAGTTTACTGTGTGGCAGCTAATCTCTTCTTCCACATACAGTCATTGGTCCCTGAGAGGGATCTAAAATCACATGATCTCACGTAGGAACGGACGCTGAAGATGTCCTCTGTCCTCCCGGCTCAGGACCCTCCAGGACACCCTCCCTAGGTCATTCGTCTCTTGCGTATCTGTGCACTAACAATGAGCCAGGCACTGTTTCAGACACAAGGACACTGGGAGAACATTCCGGAAAACCATCCACCCTCATGAAGCCAATATTCTCGCATGAACCCTTCCAGTGACGGGCAGCTCAGCACTGCATGAGCACATCCCTCTGGACGGCTGGACAGGCTCCTGGTCACTGAGCTCTGCTAAAAGTAGTTGGAAACGCTTCACTGAAGCTTCCAATCCTTAAGCGTTTCCTCTGACATGACCCAAACTTAACACAACACTGAAGATGCAGTCCGATCCTTCCAAAACAGAGGGAGCAATTACCCCAATGTTTATTAATACAGCTTAAAAATTCACCTATTTTTAGCGGTCCCCTCAGACCAGCAATTGATGCAGAGCAGGTGGTCACCACGAACCAGCTGTCATTCATTTCTGCATGCACCGCGGCCGGGCCAGTTCTCCAAGGTGCACGCTCACAAAACCCATGTTTTCCACCCTATATGCAAAACACTGCATTCATCCCTTTGGAATGTCACCTATTGGTTTCGGCAAATGTTGCCTGACTCCTGGTTTTCAGTGAAAAAGAAACATATTCTAGTGGACGTTGATAAGCTTGAAGGAAATCCATGGGTATTCCAGAGGCTTCTGGTTATGCTAACATTTTCTGCCACGATAATTTTTGCAGGAATAAGAAATGTTTTTTGAGAACGTAGAAAACAGGATGGGTTGAACAAAGGAAAGAGGCCCCTGCGTCACTCAGGGCAAACATTGTCCAAAGCCACCACTGGATATGGGCTAGACCTTGAAAAGGCAAATCTTTCGCTTCTGTACTGTGTGTTGGAAAAGCAGCAAGTAAACTATTTTAGGGGCTGAAAGGTGAATTATGGACTCAGTAAAATCCCAGACTTGTACAAAAGGAAACAAGCCTTTTCTTTTTCTTTTTTTTTTTTTTAAAATCCAGGAAATACATCTCTTGGGTATCCTGTGTACTGATAATGGCCAGCGTAACCGCTGCACACATCAACAACTGCAGTGAAATTAGACATACATTTAAGGAATGTCCTGGGTTTGAGGAGGTATGACCCAGAAGCATTTATCTGTGACTTAAACCAACACTTAAAAATATATCCAATGAAAACAGATTAAAATTTAATTGTCTGCTCCAGACTATTAGGTACATTATTATTTCATTATTTTCCTAATTTGGCATTAATGACCACTGCACCGATGGCTTATACTAGAACCTGAAGAAAATGCATCTTTGAACGTAAAACTACACCAGTTCTGAATTTTCTTAATTGTCGTTAGTTAACTATCCTGACAAAATCCTTATCTCAGTGGATTATTTACCAGAGGCCAATACATTCAGAAGGATATTCAGAAAGTACACAAAAACACAGCTGGTCAGTGGCGAAAGCTGCCTTCTCAGAATACACTTCAGTAAGTCACTTGCAAAAATACTCAAGTCATGTCCATATGAGGCATATGACAATTCCCGTGACATGAACCAAAAGAGCTTCAAATTGTTCTAGGGAGGGAAAGAGCGAATCAATGAGACGCCTTCTCATGGTAAAAATCAAGAGCCCCAGAGTAAGAGGTTGGAGTCAGTGACTAACGCCCGATGACCAACAGTCACGGCAGGTGCGTGACTGTCACACTTGGCAGAGGCAGGGAGGGCTGGTGAGCACAGGGACGCCCTGGGACGGGCATTCCTCCATTGTGATGGTGGTGATGGGGACGTGTCATATCCATTTGTCCAAACTCTCAGAACTGTGCACAGAGAAGGGCGGGTTTCACTGTAGGTACAGTGTACCTTCATTTCTAGCATGGCGGGGAGGCTGGTGGTCCTTGCACATGGTTGGGCCTTTCACACAGAGCTGGGTCATGGCCACACCACTCCCCACCATGGCCTGCCAGGCAGGACGACACCTGCTGTCCAACCCAAGGTGGATGTTCCTGCACGCCACCTCTCAGCTCCGGGTCACCTGGCATCACCAGGCTCAATGGCTCCCTCCAGGCCCTTCTCTCATAAACCCCCTGCCTCTAAGGGTGACAGTGAGAAGCAGCCAGCTGCAGAGGCGCACTGCCAGGAATGTCTCCCACTTTTCCCCACGTGACATTCTTACCCAGGGAGCAAGACTCAATCCAAACCTCACCTCCACTGGAACTATTCCCCTCACCTCCAGAAGAGGCTAAATCCTGCAACCTTTACATCCCCGAGGTCTGGTAGAATGGTGTCCAGTCAATGACAGGCGCTTCATAAAGTGTTTGAACCACCGGACTATAAAGTAGGCTTCCTTGGTATTGTCCAAAAGGAACGGCTGTATCTGACCTCAACCAGGAGCATCAGAATAAAAATGAGGAGCCACACTCATTGCTGGGAAGTGGCAAGACAGGGGAATGGTCTTGGGTCCCAGAAATGCAGCAGACATGTCCCCCACTGAGGCACAGAACTGGGAACTCAGGCGCCTATTAGAGCTTGCAGCCTGCATCAGTGTCCTATCGCTGCTGTAACAACCTGCACAAAGTCAGGGCTTAGAACAACCCATTCACTCTCACAGCTCTGGAGGCCAGATGTGCAAAGGCAGTCTCAATGGGCAAAAACCACACATCCTCAGGTCCTCAGGACACTCTAGGGGGAACCCATTGCCTTGCCTTTTCCAGCTTCTGGGGCTACGGGCCTCGCTTTCCTGGCCCAGGACCCTCCCTTCACCTGCAGAGCCAGCAGCCAGCATCCCGCTTCAGTGGTCCCCTTACCTCCCTCTTCCCCATCAAGGCTCCCCCTGCGTCCCTCGTATAAGGACACCTGTGAGGGCATTTAGAGCCCGCCTGGGTAACCCAGGATAATCTCCCCATCTCAGGATCCTAACTTAGTCACATCTGCAAAGCCTTTTTTGCCAGATGAGTAACATACACAGGTTCGAGCGACTAGGACCTGGATACCTTTGGAGGTGTTCAGCCCAAAGCACACACATAATCCACTGCAACTCATGTATTCTAATACCGAGCAGGGATATGTCTCAAGTGTGTGCCAGACTCTGATCAACACTGGGATGGGCTATCGAACAAGACACAGTGCCTGCTCCAGAAAGTTATAGTGCTGTGGGGGTGACCACACAGGACACAGACAGGAATTACCCCTTATAGACTCTGGGATGGGAGCAAACATAAGTACAATGGAAGCCCCCAAAACATCCAGCGTAGACCAAGAATCCAGAAGAAAAAAGCCGCGTATGCGTCAAAGCAAGTGCGCAAAGCCCATCCTCTCTGTTGCAACACAGAAATATATGTAGTTTTTTTTTTTTTTTTTCCCGTGTCCGGCAACGGATCGCAAC